AGAGAATTAGTGATCCGCTGCCTCCTTCATGCCTCCTATTTGGGGATTGAGCCTGCAACCCGGGCTTGTGCCCTGACTCAGAGTTGACCCACGACATCCTGGTTCATGGGTCAACACTCAACCACTGAGCTACGCTGACCAAGCTCTTTGATAAGCTTTAATCTGGGACATTTCTTTTGGGTCCTTGACAGTTTTAAAGAGTACAGGCCTGTGATTCTGTGGGATGTCCCTCAACCTGGATCCATCTGTTGTTTCCTCACATCTGGACCCATAACTTCTTGGTAGGCGTACCACACACAAAAAAAAGATTATGGTGTGTTCTTTTCAGAGTATCGCATCAGGAGGTCCATGATGTCAGCCTACCCCACTATTGATGATACTAAACTTGATCACCTAGTCAAGGAGGTATCTGTCAGCTTTCTTCACTGTAAAGTCACCATTTTCACCTTTGTAATTAATGCGTATTTTCTGGGGAAATACTCTGAAACTAATACACTGTGCTTCATCATACCTCCACCTACCAGGCTTAGTATCCATTGATAAATACAGCTTAAATCAATACCACTTTAACAATTGCCGAAGGGTGTAATAATCTGTTTACTTCCATTATTCCATCTACATGTATCAGTTGGTGTTGTCTTATATTCACTTACATGTGTATTTATTTATATCAGTAAGGGTTCCTGTTTCACTCAGCAGGTTGTAATACATTACCATCATTATTTATTTTATACTCAGATTTGTCTCAAATTTTGTCAGTGGGCATTTCTTTAAGATGGCTTCTGTGTCTTTCTGACATGTCCCCATCATTTTTTGAGCACTTTTTTTTTTTTTTTTTTTACTTCCTTGCACTACAAAATGATTTGGATTCATCTTATACTTTCCCTAGATAAGGACTGGGAACCAAGGGAGGCCAGGCAGTAAGAACACATTGCTGAGGTTACACCGAGTTCACACCAAATTCACACCACAGGAATCTACGGATGAGGAGTTCCCACTCCTCATGGGCTGCAGGTGCAGTAATGACAACTGAATTCTCCTGAAACTTGTTTTCACTCATTCAAGATTCAAAGTCCAGTTGGGAGCATTCCAGTTGGTTGGCTTAAGGGCTAAGTGCCTAACCCTGGCTATGAAACGTGGGAGGAGGATGAATGTCCTACAGCTGCCAGAAAGAGGGCAGAGTCTTAACTGGCTAATATTATCCACAGTAGAGGACTGTGCAGACATAGGAAGATTATTTGAACACTGGGTGACATACAACCCTTCCCCCCAACATCTACTTCATAGTTGGAGATCCGAATGCCTCCTACTGGAGACTGAGTCACAAGCAAAAGAAAAGGTTGGGAAGATTATGCACCAAACCATGCTGGTTAAACTGAAGCTCGGGGGTGGGCGTTGGGGCCCTTATTTATAGTGTTCACCTATTTCTGTTGTGTAAATAGCACTTTCACCATGGCCAATTGCAAATGTGACTCAAGACAGAGTTGGGAAGAGATGTGCTGTAGGTCACCATTACCTCAAGAGGTAATAGGAAAATGTAGTAAAATAATTAGGAGGCGATGAGTTTTGCTTTAATTAATTAATTAATTACTTTTGTTAATCCTCACCCAAGAATATTTTTTCCATTGATCTCCAAAAGTGAGGGAAGAAGGGAGGGAAGGAGAGAGAGAACGAGCTCACGAGCTCGCCCCACCCTGTAGGGATTGAACCTACAACCCAGGTACAGGCCCAGGAATCTGAGATCCTTCAGTTCTTGGATTGATACTCTAAACACAGAGCCATACCAACCAGAGCTCACTTTGTTTTAATGAAATCTATTTAGCCCTGGCTGTTGTGGCTCAGTTGGTTAAAGTGTCGTCTCATATACCAAAAGGTGGTGGGTTCAATTCCAGGTAAGGGCAACCTATGGACATTTCTTCCCCCACTCCCATTCTGCTCTTTAAAATCAATTTTAAAGATTAAGTTTATTTAGTTGTTAATTTTTTAAAATTAAAAAATATTTTATTGATTTTTTTTTTACAGAGAGGAAGGGAGAGGGACAGAGAGTTAGAAACATCGATCAGCTGCCCCCCCACACACACACATCCTACGGGGGATGTGCCCACAACCAAGGTCATGCCCTTGACCAGAATTGAACCCGGGACCCTCAGTCCCCAGGCCAACATTCTATCCACTGAGCCAAACTAGCTAGGGCTAATTTAAATTTTAATTAAACACATCTGAAATGCACAATTCTGGAAAATTCAGCAGTTGTCTCTCATGAGCCAGAGTGAGGTACCATACTATCTCAGTGTTTTTCTGTGATGGTGGCAGGGAAGGCATTTTTACTCATTTATTTTTTTAACTTTATATTATTTATATTTATTTATTCATCTATTATTTTGTATTGATTTCTGAGAGGAAGGGAGAGTGGGAGAAAAAGAGAGACACATCAATGATGAGAGAGGATCATTGATGGGTTGCCTCCTGCACACCCCCTACTGGGGATTGAACCCGTAACCAGGGCATGTGCCCTGACCAGAAATCAAACCATCAAACTGTGACCTCCTAATTCATAGGTTGATGTTTAACCACTGAGCCATGCTGACTGGGCTTTATTATTATTATTATTATTATTATTATTATTATTATTATTATTTTATTATGCAGGCATCCTGGTATAGTTAACAACAGAGTTGGTAGGAACCAGGCCCAGGATGCCAACCAGTTTCTGGCTGCTGTTCTCCCAGCAGTGTAACACTTACATAGGTGAGCTATGTTATTTTTAAGAGGTAGGGTTAGGAGTGTTTAAAAAACTCTTACGTGTGTTTTTATGTTGTGTGTGTGTGTGTTTAATTTGATAAAAGGGATAGAAACATCTGTGAGAATCATTTATCAGCTGCCTCTTGCATGCCTCCTACTGGGTTTAGAGCCTGCAACCCTGGTATGTGCCCTGACTGGGAATCCAACCATGACTTCCCTAGTATAGTTTGATGTTCAACCACTGAGACACACCAACTAAGCTCTGTATTTTTAATTTTTTTTTTTTGTATTTTATTGATTTTTCACAGAGAGGAAGAGAGAGGAATAGAGAGTTAGAAACATCGATGATAGAGAAACATTGATCAGCTGCCTCCTGCACACTCCCACTGGGGATGTGCCCACAACCAAGGTACATGCCCTTGACCAGAATCGAATCTGGGACCTTTTAGTCCGCAGGCTGACGCTCTATCCACTGAGCCAAACCGGTTAGGGCAAGGCTCTGTGTGTTTTTAAATAAGAATTTTATTTTATTGTGTATTTACCACCCAAAGTCAAGCCTCCTTCTGTCACCATTTATCTCCCCTTTACTCCGAAAAGATATGGACCCAGAATTTTCTTTCACAATCTTGCTACACTGTAGAGAGTGAAGTCGACTTGGAGGAAAGAAGATCAAGATGATAGGAAGAGATGGGATCTCTTGATACCAGATGAATGCCTGGGTCAAGCCACATCCACCTCTTACGCCATTTTAGTTCCTTAAGAAATAAATTTCCCCTTTTGCTGAAGTAATTTTTAGTCAGGTTTTCTAAAAGAATCTGTATAAAAGGCTAACATGCAAAGGGACCCCACAGGAGTTTCACTGGGAGACTGAGAGTTGTATTGCTCTCTATGACTTGCGCTGACTACTTGTGCTGAAGGAGCCCCACTCTCTCAAGTTCTCCCAGTTAAGTTCTCAAGTCCCCATGACACTCCTCAAGTGTGGCCAGCAAGTCCATTCTCTGCCATTTCCTTCTCTCCAACCAGGCTCTCCGGGGGTGAGGAGGGGCCCTTTTTCCCCCCTGCAGAAACAGAGAGTGATAATCCTGCCTTAGCTGACCCAGCAAAATAGTTGGGAGATAGACACTATGGACGCTGCTCTATCCTCACCTTAAGGCCCCCCCCCCTCTCTTAAAAAAATATGTTATTGATTTTTTACAGAGAGGAAGGGAGAGGGATAGAGAGTTAGAAACATCAATGAGAGAGAAACATTGACCAGCTGCCTCCTGCATACCTTCCACTGGGGATGTGCCTTGACCAAGGTACATGCCCCTGACTGGGAATCGAACCTGGTACCCTTCAGTCCACAGATCAACACTCTATCCACTGAGCCAAACCGGCTTTCGCTTTGGCTTTGGCCTTCTTAAGGTTCTTAAGGTCTGGGGCCAGGGAGCTGAGGTCGCAGAAGGCCCATCCAAGGGCACGAGGGTGCTGCCCCTGATCCTTTCTCTTCTCAGCTCCACTTAAGGGGCACTTGTGTTAGGCCAGGCACCATGCCTGGCATTTTACCCTCCTGGTCATCTGTAATTTTCCTATGGAGATAATGACTGTATCTCTACTGAACAGATAAGAAAACACAAGCCCAGAAAGTTAACCGTCTGCGTCAAGGCATCGGTGATGAAGTGACGGAACAGGTTTCCAAGGCGCGCCGCTGGCCTTGCGGCCGTTAGAGGAAGGCCAGGTGGGAGGAAGGCGACAAAGAAAGAACCTTTGGGATTGTAGGAAGCTGCTCACAGGTGAGATCAGGCTGGAGATGCAGTGTGCCTCGGGCGGCCCACGTGGGCCGGGGTTTTCCGTGCGCAACTAGCCGGGCGGGCCGGCCATGTGGGGGCGGCGGGCTGGCAGGCGGGGCGCCCCGGGCCCTCCCCTCGCCCAGGTGCGGCGCCGGACCCCGGCCGGAAGGCACTGTGCGCCCCTCAGGGCTCCGGGGTGCTGGGCGCTCGGGCGGATAGGCTGTGGGGCCAGGCCGGCTCGGGAGGGGCTGAGTCAGGGCTGCGGGGGCGCCCCGGAACCGGCCCCTCCGCACGGGCCACCGGCGGGGGCGGGAGAGGAGGGGGGGCCGCGCCCTGCCCGGCCAGGTAGCGTCTCCGGGGCGGAGTTTGGGAACCGGCCGCGGAGCTTCCCGGCGGGACCGGCGGGCGGGCGGGCGTGGAGGGACAGAGGCCGCGGAGACCGGGTGGAGAGGGGGCGCACCGGACGGGCCAGCGCGCGGGGCCGCCAGCATGTTCTCCCGCAACCACCGGAGCCGGGTCACCGTGGCCCGGGGCTCGGCCTTGGAGATGGAGTTCAAACGCGGCCGCTTCCGACTCAGCGTCTTCAGCGACCCGCCCGAGGTGAGACCCCCGCCCCGATGCCCTTGCCTCCCGAGCTCCTGGCACCGCCGCGGAGCCCCCGCCCGCGCGCACGCCGGAGGGCGGGGACGCCGCCGCGGCCAAACCCGTGCTTGTTGACTTTAAAAAAGTGTGTTTTTATTAATTTCAGAGAGGAAGGGGGGAGAGAGAGAGAGAGAGAGAGAGAGAGAGAGAGAGAGAGAGAGAGAGAGAGAGAGAGAAAGAGAGAGAGAGAGAGAGAGAGAAACATCAGCGATGACAGAGAATCGTTGATTTGCTGCTTCCCGCACCCTCGCGGGGAGCGAGCCCGCAGCCCCAGCCTGCGCCCCTCACCGCAATCGAACCGGGGAACTTCGGTCCAGGCCGGCTCCTCCACGGAGCCCCGCCGGCAGGGTTGTCGTATTTGTGCTGCCGAAGCGAGCACGGGTTGTTGACTTTAAAAGTCAGGCGCGGCCGTGTCGCAGGTCATCGGGCCCCCGCAGCCCCCTGACCCGGGTGGGGCGATTTGCCTCTGTCGGAACGAACGAGCTGCAGTTGATCTCAATTTAGGGGGCCCCAGGCTTGATTCCCGACGTGCGTCTGGCATCTCCCGGGCAAAGGGTGGGGGCAGCCAGGTCCCCACGGCTTGGACCTTCAGCTTGGACGCCCCCCCTCCTCACCCTCCCCACCCCCCTCCACTCTCAGCGGGGCGGCCGCTTCACCGGAGCCTTCCCAGGCAGTCCTTTCTCTGCTCCGCGAGGGGCTGGGAGTGTGTGAGTGTGCGTGAGAGAGTGTGTGTGTGTGTGTGTGTGTGTGTGAGTGTGTGTGTGAGAGTGTGAGAGAGTGTGTGAGTGTGAGAGTATGAGTGTGTGCGTGTGTGTGCGTGTGTGAGAGTGTGAGAGTGTGTGTGAGTGTGTGTGAGTGTGAGAGTGTGAGTGTGTGAGTGTGCGTGTGTGCGTGTGTGTGTGTGTGTGAGTGTGAATGTGAGAGAGTGTGAGAGAGTGTGTGTGAGAGTATGAGTGTGTGTGTGCGTGTGTGTGAGTGTGAGAGTGTGAGTGTGTGTGTGAGAGTGTGAGAGAGAGTGTGTGAGTGTGAGAGTGTGTGTGTGTGTGAGAGTATGAGTGTGTGTGCGTGTGTGAGAGAGAGAGTGTGAGTGTGTGTGAGTGTGAGTGTGTGAGTGTGAGAGAGAGTGTGTGAGTGTGTGTGAGTGTGTGTGCGTGTGTGTGAGTGTGAGAGTGTGAGTGTGTGTGAGTGTGTGTGTTCCCTTTGTAACCATCGGGGAGTATTCCCCACACCCGGGCTCTCAGCCTCCTGTCCCGGGGCCTGAGAGGAGGTCAGTCCCGCTCTGACAGTTTCCTCCCGGGCGGGGCGCAGTGCTCTCCGCGGTGCGAGGTCCGAACCCCACTTGTGACCCCTAACGGTGTGGGAGGTGTGGGAGGGGGACGGCTGGAGGCTGCCCAAGGCCAGCTCTTCCCCGCTGGGCCCGGAGGGGTTAAGTGCGGAGGGGGGCCCTGCTCCACTCCCCTCCCTCCCTCCCCGCAGGATTCCAGGCCCGGCTCCTGCCCCCCCCCCCCCCCCCCCCCCGCGGTCAGCCCGGAACAAAGGCCCTTTCACACGTGCTCCGTGTCCCGGGCTTCTCTGGCTCAGAAGCTAGGGAACTTGGAGGAGAGGGCCCTCTTGTCGGTTCTCCCCCAAAAGTAACCCCGTCCGGGCCGGCGTGGGAGAGTGAGGGGCGAGGCCCGGGAGGAGGGCGGGGCCTGGGAGCCGGGGCGCCCGGAGGAGCCGGGCCTTGGGGAGGGGGGGCAGCGCCGAGGAGCGGGCGGAGCTGCGGGCCGCCCGGGTGTGTGACTCCGTGGGTCTGGGTGGAGGGGGCAGGGGGGGGGGTGCGGAGCTGCAGCTGGCTGGGAATCGGGGCTGGTTTCCTGTCTGGAAGGGAAGGGGCCCGCCGAGGGGAGCGGGGCAGCAGCAGCTCCCAGGCACACACCCCTTGCCACTCTCCCTCCCTCCTCTCTTCTGCTGGAAAAGCGAGGTAACTGTGAGCCCAGGGTGGGTACGGATGGACAGGGTGGCCCCCAAGTTGGAAGCAGCCGCCCTGGTGGATGGGCCGCGTTTACCCCTTTGTCCCACGGCCTGGGCTCCCTCTCCCAAGTCCTCACCTCCATTCCTCTTCTTCGGAAAGCTCCAAGCCCCTGACAGACTTCAGGGCTCGGCAGAAGCTGCGTGAGGCAGCCCCTCCCTGCCCCCTTCCAGCTGTGCCTGCCCCTCAGGCCCTCCTGGCACACAGACTCCCTGTCCACCAGCCAGGGATGTGGGCGGGGGCCGGGGAGGGACCAGCGTCCGAATGAAAGGGCCTTTTTCTTCCACAGCTGGGAGAACAGCTGCCGCCAGAGCCAGGCTGGACACTCGGTGCCCAGAGTCCCCTGGGCAGCTGGCCTCCCCGCTGGGACCTCACGCACCCTCACCTTACTTTCTCTTCCTCCTGTGCCTGGCTCCCGCCAGGGCCCCGGGGGCAGCGGTAGGCAAGAGAAGTTTGTCCCAGCAGCCAGAGGGGGCTGACAGGAGTGCAGAGGGATACGGAGTGCCTTCCACCCTCTGTCCCAAGAGCTGCCCACCTTTTCCAAGACCCAGGGGAGCAGTGGGAGGAGGAGTTGCGGGGCAACGTGGTGCCTGCCCGCCCCTTCCACCTGGAGGGGTTGACACGGGAAAGGGTGCTAGGGGGCACAGAGATGCAGGACAGATTGCACATCCTGGAGGACCTGAATATGCTCTACATTCGGCAGATGGCGCTCAGCCTGGAGGTAATGACCCCCACCCCCGCCCCAGCGCACCTCTTTGGCAAGGGTCCCAGCCCCCTCCCGTGTCTGCCCTGCCCAAACCTCCTGGGGCTGAGTGGGGAGGGCAGGCGGTTCTGTATGTCCCGCCTTGGGTGCTGTGGGGGTCAGGCTCCGTATGGCCAATCAGCGCGTTCTGTGGACAGCAGGGTCTCGTCTTCACACCTACGATGGAAGCTCTGTGGGTGGGTGTGGATGTGTGTTTTGGGGCTTGGGAAGACAAGAGTTCAGTGTGATAGAGGTTTGCAGGAAGGATATGGCCTTCCTGGAGAAGGGGAAGGAGCCTTGGGGCAGGATGTAAAGATTTTGCTAATCCTGGAGATGGCAGGGAGCTATTTACTCATATAGCTATTCTTTTAAAAATATATATATTTTATTGATTTTTAAAAATATATATATTTTATTGATTTTTCACAGAGAGGAAGGGAGAGGGATACAGAGCTAGAAACATCAATGAGAGAATCATCGACCAACTGCCTCATGCACACCCCCGACCGGGGATGTGCCCGCCACCAATGTTCATGCCCTTGACCGGAATCGAACCTGGGACCTTTCAGACGCTCTATCCACTGAGCCAAACCGGTTTTGGCTGGCATATAGCTATTCTTAAACACACTTACTGAACACCTACTATATGTCACATTCCTCTCTAGATCATGGCATATACTTCAGTGAATCAGACAGGAAAGGTTTATTCCGCTGGGGAACACACAATGAACATGCAAACACATGATCTCACAGTGAAACAGTGATGAACATAGAGATACATACACAACAGGAGGCAGAGTGAGGGCAGCATTAGATGCAGAGGGCAGGGCAGGCCTCTGAGCGGAGACCGGGAGGATGTGAAGGTATGTGAAGATCGAAGGGAGAGCTTTCTAGACAGAGGGCTAAGCAGGCGCAAAGGCCTTTACATGGGGATGAGTTCCAGTTCGAGTGTGGCTGGAGCACAGTGGTTGGGGTTGGGGTTGAGCTCGTGGGCAGGGGCCAGATTATGCAGGGCCTTGAAGGCCATGCCAAGGCACTTGGATTTTACTCTCTCTGTGATCTTGGCCCATGGAAGGGTTTTAAGCAGAGGGATGACTCATCTGATGTTTTAAGATGATGGCTGCTGAGAACAGGCCAGGCGGGGTGGGGGTAGGAGAGGAAGGTTGGAGGTGGGGTAGCAGAAGACCACCAGGAGGAAAGGTGTTTACAGCCTCAGGCGGTGAACCTGGGGGAGTGGGGGAAAGTGCTCAGGGTGGAGACAGGGAGGGGGTGGACTTGGAATGCTGATGGTAGGTCTGGCAGGGCTTGCTGATGGATCGGACGTGAGGGGTGAGACAAAGAGAGGACTCGAGGATGATTCCTAGGCTGTGGCTGAGCAACCGGGCAGTGTGGCCATTGACTGAAATGGGAAGAGGGAGGAATCTGTGGACATGACCACCTGGACCAGGCAGGGCTAGTCTGCTGAGGAAGGTCGTAAGCAGGCCATGATGGGAAATGGCAATTTATTTCATGTCACCTTTCTTGGCCCCATCCCCACTCCCTGAATCAGAGTAGACATTATCTGTCAATCATAGCACTCAGTGTTGTTGTTTTTTTTCTTTTCTTTTCTTTTTCTAGTATATTTTTATTGATTTCAGAGAAAGGGAGAGAGACAGACACATCAATGGTGAGAAAGAATCACTGATTGGCTGCCTCCTGCACAACCTCTCCTGGTGATTGAGCCCATAACCTGGGCACATGACCTGATAGGAATCGAACCGTGACTTCCTGGTTCATAGGTCAGTGCTCAGCCATTGAGCCACACCAGCCAGGTAATCATGGCCTCAGAACCTTTCTCAGCACGACCTCGGCATAAATTGTGCAGGTTGTTTCCTTCATAAGGGCACAGGCAGAGTCCAGAGTCCTGACCTGGTTTGGGGCTGCGTCAGGAGGGGACACCTTTACCTAACATGTTTGCCTGGAGAAGCTTACCTCCTCCTCATATGCAGAAAGGTGCCCAGTGAGCCCACTGAGATTCTGACACTATGTAGTGTCCTGTCTTGGCACAGGAAATAAACTTGTTTGCCATCCCTAGTCCTCTGCAATGCCCATGTTTCTAGTTACATGTGGCTATTTAAAATTATCACTTAATTAAAATGAAATGAAAGATTTAGTTCCTTAGTTGCTCTAGCCACATTTCAAGTGCTAGAAGACTATTGAATATTA